ATATATATATATATAAATTAATTGATACACATATAAATATAAATACATATATTAAGATCAATACACAAATCAATAAATTTTGTAATCAATAAAATTTTGTCACCGTTCACATAAAGTTATATCTAAAATAAATATTATTTTAAACTTTAGATTTGTCAAATTTTTTGGGATACTCAGTTTTCTTTGAATTCCAAATTTTATAAATGTATTGCAGGTATTAAAAAAAAAATTACAAAAATTAGATATCTTTTTATACTTAAAAGAAAAAAATTTGACGATTATGTAGAGAGCCTGAATCAACAATTATTTTAATAAGTAGATATATTTTTGTACATATAATTAAGACATAACAAAAAATTTTTTATTTAAATCATAAATTATATTGTTAAATATAAATATTGACCTCACTGAACTATTTCACGTGTACATAACATTCATTTTTATATGGAGAATATCTTCTAATTTCAATCACTTTTTGCAGAAACTGTACATTCTCAATACATCTTGAAAACAGTAGTGATTATTTCAAATCTAATAAATCTAGGTACTCGACTGTACGATTAAAAACTCCATACCGACATATCAGACTTCCACGTGCTCTCGAGTACCGACATAGCAGCCAGCGAACCAGATCCCATAGTGGTATATTTCAGCTTTTCTGTTGAACCATGAGGATAAATGCAATACAGCTGAGGTCCATCCAGATCAAAACCTCCCAGGATAAGAGCAGCACCAATGTGGCCCTGGTAGCGGAATAGCATTTGTTTTATCAATGTGTTGGCAGTGCACACAGGCACAACACGGCCAGTATTCAGACGATGTAGTTCCAATTGGCTAGCTATCATTTCTGTAGTCATTTCAGTGTCGGCAGCTGTACCAGCTCCGCAACAGCTAAAAATAAATAATTTACATTTCTCTTAATGCATTATTTGTAAAATTAATTTTGTATAAAGAAAGGATGCTATGTAACTTACTACATATTAGGAGCGAGATAATGGATCTTCAAGCTGTATTTATCAGCTACAATAGTATCCTCAGTTGCTCGTGTATCACCACCGAGAATAACGCCATCCTTATATACCACACCTGCGATTGTGGTACCTGTTTTCTTGACTTTTGGACTGTCAAAGCCTTTTTTGGCCAAGAAAGTATTCCTGTGCAAAATAAATAAAGATTAGTGGGATCAATATGCTTCAAATCAAATAACTATTAAATATATTAGGTGTTGGAATTAATTCGTAGCGTTTTTTTAATGAAAGAATGTTATTTATTTCACATGAGCATTAAAAAATACATTAATGAAAGTACTTCCCATCTCTATATCTTGTCTTCTAATTTTTCGTATATTGTATAAGTGATGTGCGAATATCACCGATACAGTTCCTACGCGATCGAGAGTTAGGAATATACGGTGAGCACATCATGAAACAGGCATTTATTAACGAAGAGCCTGTTTGTTTCTGGTCTTTACTCGCGCGGCAGAAAGTACACGTAGTTATGCAACGAACATTGTAAGAACTATGGTTTTGAAAAGAGATATAAAACTCGCAGTTTAACAGACAACGACTATTCTTGTGTGTCGAAAATTGCAGTGAAGACCAATCGTTTCTGTTGCAGGCACATTGTGATTCATACGGATGATGAAAAAATAGTCGAACTATCAATAGCTGGCGATGCACATACGCTGAATTACCATCGCGAGAAGAATCCTGCTGTAAAAAAAAAAAAAAATATTTTCATATGTGATGATAAATGCTATGAATGTGACAAGTGTCACTCCGTCTTCAAGTATCATAATAGTACAGTGCTAAATTACTATAAAATAATAGATATAAAGCGGTGGTGCGGCCAGTAAAGAATGTGTAAAAGAATATGTAAAAGAATGTGTAAAAGAATGCGGGCTGTGAACGAATCGCGTGCAAATGCTCCGTGGAAGAGTGCGACGTTGACCTAAAGACTGAAAAAAAACATGGAAAATCACGAGCAAGTGGAATGCGAACTGCTAGAGCAAAACGGCCAGGTCGCTACTCTGGTGGAGTGTTTCGCGTAGCTGCAACGATGTGACGAGTGCATCGAGCAACTCGAAGAACTTCGCCGTGTCAAGCGTTCGCGCCTCGCCGTTGGACAACGCAACGAGTACGCAAGTGGCGATGAAAGATCTTCCGTCTGGCAAGAGATCGACACTGCGTTCGAGAATCATGTTCTGACTGATGGATATTCAACGCGCTACACCAAGTTGCGGTTTTGGAAGACGCGGGTAATGTAGTGCTCGAGCGAATGCGAAACGCTGTAGAAAGACACGATAGTGTAAAAGTGAATACCGCGTTAATGGTGAGTTTGCGGCGAACGATAAACATACCATCAAGAGCATAAATACAAAGAACAATGAGATATATCGATGCATCGATTTGCGCGAATGGTACGAGCAGCGCGTCATCGAGCACGTTGGCATCACTTGAAGGATAGACTTGCAATAGCGGATAGACGCTACCGCGAATCCTTAATTTTATTGTCAATGTGAACAAACTAAATCCCATGCAGGATGCCACACTGATGTACCGCAAGAAATTATGCTGAAGAAGGCGATAATCAATGTGAAATCCATAGACAATGCATGCTTCGCGTGGTCGGTGATTACTGCTCTGTACCCCGTAGAAAGAAATGTGAATCGTGAATGTAATTCATTGTATCCACATTATACTACAGTGTTAAATCTCGCGGGCATCGAGTTTCCAATGACTTTAAAGGACATTTCAAAATTCGAACGTTTGAATGTGGTGTCGATCAACGTGTACGGAATAAAAAATAAACAGATTTTTCCTCTACGCCTCATCAGTGACAAGAAGGAGAAGTACGTCATCATGCTGTATCTGGAAGATCCATGTAATGATGGTGTCGCCCACTTTATGTGGATCAAGAATCTGTCCTGTCTCGTGAGACCACAAATTACTAAGGACAAAAAGAAGAAATTTTTCTGTGATCGGTAAGTGTAATAAAAAAATTATAATTTTCTTGAAATAATAATAATAGTAATAATTTCTTTTTCAGATGTCTTTATTATTTCAGTACGAATAAAAAATTACAGTCACACGTAGTGAATTGTGGCAAAATGAACTGCCGAGCGAGGACTACAAGTCGAGTTTGGGAACCACTGCAATAAGGAACGAGCTGCTGTTCATCATCTATGCCGATCTGGAGTGCGTTTTATGGAACAAGGAAAACGCATCGTCATACACATATCAACAGCATACGATATTTAGTATTACATGCGATACTCATATGATAACGCGTTATCAGTTTCGTCGCGATAAAGACTGTATAGCGTGGTTCACGCGACAACTCCAAGACTTGACGCATAGCGTGAAAAATATCGTATTCGCTAACATGCCCATGATAGTGTTGTCGAAAGAATAATGGGAGGCATACCGTAGCGCGATGCGTTGTCACATCTGCGAGAAACCGTTTGCGCCGAACGACATGCGGGTACGATCTTTGTCATTTCACCGATAGATACCGAGATCCAGCGCATGCAAACTGCAATCTAAATTATAAAAATTCGCTATATATTTCGGTCGTATTTCACAATTTATTCATCTACGACGCACATTTTATAATTAAAGAAATTGCTACCGTATACGATCAACATGTAGATTTCCTTCCTATAACGAAGGAGAAATACATTTCACTAAACATGTCGATAGCATCAAAGATAAAAATAAAAATAATTTTCAGAAAAATTGTATAAAATTAAGGTTTATCGATTCTTTCAAATTTCTAAGTACGAGCCTTGATAAATCGTCGTATCTCGATAAAGAAAAACTAAAACTTATATAGTCAAAATTTTGCAAACTTAGCGCCGAGGATTTTGATTTTCTTACACGTAAAAGCGTCTTTTCATACAAATACGTTGACTGCGTCGAAAAGTTAGAACACACGCGCTTATCATCGCGTGAATAATTTTTCAGTTCGTTGACAGGCGACACCATATCTGAGAGCGAGTACAGTGATCTGTACTTGAAAATCGATTTTTATTAGCCGACATTTTCGAAAATTTCCGCGAAAATTGTGTTGCAAGTTACAGTCTCGATCCCGCGCATTACTACACTTTATCTAGTTTCACGTGGGACGCCATGCTGAAACATACGCGCGTAAGATTTGAGTTGCTCACCGACATCAATATGGTTCTATTCATCGAGTGCGGTATACGCGGTGATCTCAGTCAATGTTCAGACAAATACGCGCAGACTAATAACAAATACATGCGTTCATATGATTCATCGAAACCATTGTCGTACCTTATGTACTATGACGTGAATAATCTGTATGCCGAATTCGTTCACCGGTTATATATTCTCGAGGTTGATCTCGAGTATCCGCAGCATCTGCACGATACTGACCGGCATACTGACCTATCTTTTTGCCCAACGCGCGATAAGTCGCCCGGCTAGCGCGAAGATAAACTTCTAGTGATAATGTACGATAAACATCGTTACGTCATCCATTAACCTGCAACAATGTACTCGCTACGGTCTTCGCGTGACAAAGATTCATCGGGTATTACAATTCGCTCAATTCGATTGGCTTCGTAATTATAATACATTGAAGTCAATACACAATTTAGAACGCGCGCGAAAAAAAAATTTCGTAAACAATTTGTATAAATTAATGAAACGTAGCAAAACTATAGAAAACGTTCGAAATCATGTAGACTACGATATTAGAAGTACAAGTGGTCCGACTGAATACATTTGTCATATGCAGCCCTGTAATTATTTTAAGTCAATTAACGCTTTCGTTATTAGGTAGCGTCGTAGATTCAAGTACCCAAACAAATATGTCAGCTTTACGTGTGATGTAAACACGTAATGTAGTAAAAAGCAGTTTTTGTAAAAAGCCTAAATATAATGGGGAAAAAATGTATTGCGAATTGCAATAATAATATAGGCTCTTTATTCTCAATGCCGAAAGACAATACATTATTCCACATGTGATGTAAAATCTTGGCAGCTGCCGAGATTTAGAAAAAAAAAACATTTTATATGCGAACAGCATTTCGACGAAAGTAAGATTAAAATTGCAATAATAAAGGGCAAGAATGGAAAAATATTATTTAAAATTACTGTTTATGTAATTTTCATGAGTGTATATATTATTTTACTAAATATTTTTCTAATTTGTATAGTTTTTTTAATTTTTTTTTATACTCGAAACTTTTCTATCAAAGTTACTTTAATAGGAATTATACATTTGTATATGTTTCTAAGACTAATGATATCTATTCTTACAGAAATCTTTTCCTTTGCAGGAAAATCTTAGTGAAAAGTGCTATTCCATCGATTTTTGGAAATAAAATTATACATTTAAATTTCTCAGATAAATATTGATTATGTGCATACTTTATAGTAAAATAAAACTTTGGTTTTATTCATCGATAATTTATAAATATAAAAATATTGTTTTGCAGAAGTTGTTCATGTTTAAAAAAATAATGAAAATAATTTGATTTCTGAGCAGCAAATAGAAATTACAAACAATAGAATCGATGTTTCAAAACATGTCGAATATTTTAATAATGATAACTGTTCATTGCAAATATTAACCATTAAAGGAAAAGATAAAAGTTCTAGCAATATGGATCAAAAACTGATTTCTTTTTTAAACAGGATAAACAGGACATGACAGATGAAATTCCTGCCGACAATACAGAAGAAAGTATATAAATATTAATTCAGTATATATTATTTATAAGTGACATTAATTGATAATATGAACCACATGAATTGTAATTTTAATTATCTTAATAAAAATCTTGTCAGTGATGACACAGTTCTTTTTCTCTATATTCACTGGAAGAGTGAAAGTACAGCTTCCGAATGAACGATGGAGTTGTTGTTCGAGTTGTTCGTAATCGATCGAGTTGTCGTTCAGTTATTGCGCGAAGTAATCCCTTTCCAAGTTTCTTCTTCTGTTTCTTGGACACCAACGGTGCGATTACATATTTGTACTTGTATCCCCTGTTTCTCAATAATCGACCCTGCGAATGATGCTTGTGTTTGTGCGCGTTCGTCGCCAGAAGCATGCTCTTGTACTTGTGCATGTCGTCTTCCTTTTAGGGGAGCTCATCAGGAATTCTCTTAAAAATCAACTCGTAAAGATCGGGTGTAT